CTCAAGTACTTGCTGACACGAAATTAATCAACCGTTCTAACTCAATATTATCTAACACAACTTTTTCAATACATAGTATCGTCAATCCACACTACCATCAAACACATTTAATGATACATATATCTTCCATGATAGATTCAGATTCTTTGGGTAACACCGTTGAATGCTCACAGTAACCTTTTGTATGAAACTTTTAACTTTTATTAAAAAAAAAATCAAATCCTACATGATACTTTGTATTTTTAATCTTCATTAAGAAGTAGGTACGATTGTGGCTTAATGTATTAAGCATATATAGTTATATGCATGGGACAAGAATCAGTAGCACCAGTGGTCTAGTGGTAGAATAGTACCCTGCCACGGTACAGACCCGGGTTCGATTCCCGGCTGGTGCAAAAGATTCCATTTTTGTGCCTGACTTTTCTTCTGCTTCAGTAATGTTGTAGTTGTACTATATCTGTTTAGGTAGGGGCCTTGATTTTTGGCGCAATGACACCTTGTTTTGTAATTGTACTAATAAATTTAACACATATTTAATTTTAAGCCCCAATACTTTGCCATAAAATTAAACACATATATTTGTACAATTAATACAACTTTGATCTAAACCGTTCATTTTATTTTTTCAGTTTTTAAATTGGTAATTTGTTCACTGTAGATGAACTGATTGATGGTTAAGATGAAGTTGCATTGGTTATTGACAGGAAGGGATCGTTCGTGTTTTCCTAGTGGGCAGAATGTCTCCACAGTGGCGGTGCAAGTGCACGCAAGTAATAAAGTGGTACAAAGTACCGAGATCGTTCCCACAGAAAAGGTACTACTGAGATTCAGAGATTTTTCATGAATTTCTTGCACGAGTTTCAAGATGTACATAAAAGTTGGATTTTTGTTTATAAAAAGACCGAAATATGACCGACTAGCTAATTAAAGAAATAAACTTCTAATATTAAATGATGGGCATGAGTGCAAGTGTTGCTTAAGATAACATTAACAATAAAATGGTTAGACTTTTACGAGTTGTTTATAAAATTCCATAAGGTTTTTACGTTTACCACTTCGAAACTTGCCGATCTAGCTAAAAAGTAAAAGGAATGCGATTCTTACCCAAATATCTTTGTAATAAAAATACTTATTGCTTAACCCCTAGCTAGATGCATACAAAATTTGCGTCTCCACATAATTATTCAAAGACCCTCTCGAGTTCATTGTGCATCACTTAAGCCGTATTTCGGATCCGCCCATCTCTGGGTTTAAGATCTAATATTAACACTTCAAAGTGATCAGCTTATCCGCATTTTAAGTGTCGTCTTAAGTGACCAAGTTACGAAGTGATAAAAGATAAAAGCACCCAAATATTATATAAACATCCTAAGTTAAACTCACACACATACAAGTAATTTAGCTAGACATAATAATTATAGACATAAAATAATACTGAAATATAAATTGCATTAATGTAAAACTAAATTACAAGTACAATGAAATAAAATAATAGAAATTAAATACATAAATTAAAAAGCATAATAATAATAATAAAAGAAAGAAAAGAAAGAGAGACACACTATAGAGTATTGTGTCTTAGATGGTGTTGGGGTGTTGGTGGTCCTCTTCAAAATGGCTCCCCAAGCCTCTTTATACAGGGGAGATGAATGGGAGCAAGGTACAACTAATCATTACCTTAAAAGTAATTAGTACAAGGCTAAGAAAATACAAATAAAAATAAAATAGAAGAAGGAAGACCGTTCATATACAACCGAAGAAAATATCTGGAGGAATCTTCAAGCTGCACGTTTCCCAAGAAGCTGTAACAAGGCTGGTAGACGTCCCACAGTGATGTCACAGTGGGCAGTGCTGTTAGAAAAATACATGTTTTTGGAATAATACCTCTTCCTTTGTGTTTCATCATCTTTTTAAAACTTTTTGGAATAGTAAGATAAAAACAAGAAAATTGGGTATTTAATAATAACAAAAATGGAGGAAATAAATAGGAAATAACTCTTAAAAATCAGAGTTATCAGTTAAACAAATGAAATAGGTTGTAAAATAAACCACCGATATATAGGGGGAGTTTCAAACATAAACCATGTGATTCTTATAAACCCTACAAACCTAATCTCAACCAGTGGTTTTGTTTATTTTGAAATTTTAGATGCAGTTATGAAAGGGGTTGAGAGTAAATTTAGGATATGTTTTAATCCATACCGTTGTGATACACTTTATAAAACAACGAAAGTAACAAAAATGCATATTGTGATACAATTTATAAATTAAGTTCAAAATATAACATATAAAACAAGCTCCGATACGATTTCAAGACTATATACTACATTATATAACCCTACTCCCACACACAAACATAAACATAAATTATTAATGGGAATTATAAAAGAATAGTAGAGTGAACCACAAGGGTGGTGCCTGATTGGTTTGAACTTAACTCCAAAGGTCAAAAGTACCAGGAAGTCTCAGGTTCAAATCCAATGAGAAATAAAAATTCTCTTGTGGCCACGGAGGTTCAAATGCGATGACTCCGGGCTATCTGCAAAGCAGATGACCATCTTGGGATTAATCGGCTTGCATAGCGGGTTGGATATCCAAGTTAATTAAAAAAATAGTGGAGTGTTAGTAGTATGTTATAATAATTACAATTTTATTATTAGATCATAAATGAAATTAATTATGGTCCCCTGAAGAAAGGAGCACCTTTGATGCCCATTTAATATCTAATAAATTGGATTGACTTGTCTTAGAATAAGAGAGAAGGTAGCTCAAATCTATGAATATGTTCACACCAAACCTTCTTTTTTCTATGCTCATTTACCAAACTACTAAAACGACATTTTCAAAATCATTAGGTATTTGCTTGTAAAAATTATACCATCTTTTTTGGACACATATTTGGATGTACATAAGCTAGCTTATTGAAGCATTACTTATAATAACGTTTTGGTAGCTTATTGTCATTTTTTTCTATTTATAACACTCATTAATGTTAATTATCATTTGTTACTATTAATTACAAATAAATATTAATATAACTTATATGTCAATAATATTAATATTTACTAATTAATATAAATTGAAAATTAATTTATTAATTAATTTTGACTTTTAAACAAACATTC